ACTACTAGTAAGGCACCTGTTACTACTAGCGTGGCACTTGTTACTACCTTTTTAGTTAAAACATGTCCGATTGGGCGAAGCTCCCGTTTGGAGTCTTAGGCCGGCCGTGAGCTGCCGGCGACGTCCCAAAGCACGCGAGGGTCCCAGCCAGTGAAGACCTAAATGCATTGGACCGGACAGGCTGAGAGGATGGGGCTCTTGCATGGATGGGGCTCTGCAGTCTATGTTGTATGAATTTGGCCTGGAGATCAGTAGAAGTGCAGAAGAGACATATTTGAGGACACACCTTATGGGCCAACAAGGGTTTTTGGGGTGTGACTGCAAGGATACACTGGCTTGTGGTGCCGCCCATATCTACTTGTGGGCCAAGTACTCTCTGAGAGAGAGATGCAAGCACGTGCTGCTCACAATGCCTGGACTCGGCTCCAGGCCCATGTCCTTCTCTTTGTCAGCTCCAAGCCTGGAAGAACACTACGGCCACTTGGCGCCAGCAGCAGCCATGTCAAAGTGAACTTATTGGCTCAGCACATACAGCTGGCATCATCGCATCATACCTTTTCATGAACTTGGCTCCCAAGCGGTGCTCTTCACAAGCTTCAAGGCAAAAGAAGATACTCTGGTTTCAATCAACTGCCGCAGAGCACCTTAGCAATAAACCCGAAAATGAACGGCAGTCCTTTTGCTTTCCAGAGATCATGCGACTCATCACAAGGTCTAGTGTGGCCTATATAGCTTTGCTTCAAGTTGTGTTTTTGTGGTACGTGCAAACTCGAGCAGGTGCATTGCTTCAAAGAGAAGAACAGGCCCATCAAAGAACGGAGGCCACAAGCTGGGATAGGGAGATGAGGGCAAGAGGAGCCTGTTGACCTTCATCCTGAGCAATGGATTGGACTTTCGACCTAGTTTGCCTCTGATGCCACGTTTGCTCTTCCTTGTTCATTCATGTTGCAACAGTTCTTTGTGCCCAGGAGAAGCTTCGCATGGCCCAGGAGCAGATGCGGCGTGAAGGGTCTCAGTGTACATGTTCAAAATGAAGAGAATGGGGCAGACATAGCATGATCTGTGTCACAACATGCCCAATCTGATCCGTGGGGCTTAGGAATGCAAGATGACCTCCAAAAGCGAGAGTTGGAGTTTGAGGAGGACTGCGCATTGCCACTCCATAGGGTTCACAGTGTTTGTTTGAAAGAGAGCCTGTCTTCTTCTAGAATGCTTTTGCATCCTGAGATTGCACCTGTGTTCAGAGTAAAAGTTGTAGGGTCTGCAATCACTTTGCAGGAAAAGAAGGAGCTTATGGATATGATCGACGAAAAGGTCCCATGTTTTTGTGCTTCTGTGCTTCTTTGCATTGCCAGCTTGAATGGCCTTCAAGTAGCTGTTGTGAAGAATTGAAGGTCATGTCTCCAACTTGGATATTGTCAATGACAGGAAGAGATCTTAGCGTGGGAGCAAAGCCAACTCGAGCAACGAGTTCAACAGGCCAGCAACCAGAGAGTCTAGTTGGACAAAGGCGTGAAGAGTCTTGCTGTCACACGTGCAGCTTGTGTTTTGTCAGCGACCTTCATGAAGTGACACAACACATATCCGGCCATTGGTGGGCAAAAGTCTGTTGCGTGCTAAAAGACTATCACTGCCTCTCATTTCAGCACCAAAACTGCATTTGAGCCGCAAGCTGCCTCACGCATTACAATCTGTCAGTCACGGGCAGAATGAACACAATATCTCTAGAAGCCTGCACATGTGCATTTCCCCTTGCAAACCACATAGCCCTGTTACAGCTCACAATCATGCTTGTTGATGACTGTAATCCAATTTGCAGTATTTGCATACGAGACACTGCAACCGATTGCAGATGCGCTGGGTATAAGTTGAAAGTGGTATTGCACGATTGAAGCTGTTTTTTTTTGAGTTTGTCCTTCGCACGGTCAACCTGTCTGAGCCGCGGCCATTTTGGATGCACATATAGAATATATAGATTAAGTTTTGCTATCCAGTTGCATTGGACAAGCTTACGAACAGCGCAGACATGAAGCTGAGAGTCCAGGTTTGCCGTTTGCATTAGTGTTGCTAGACAGTCAGATATCAAACGGCTCGCAGACATTGCCATGTTCTTGCAGCTGACATTGGCCGTGCTAGTGCAAGGCCTGGACTTGGTTCTCATGCGCACAAAAGTTGGCATGTCCAATCTAAAATGAGCGGAAGCGTTTTTTGAATGAGCCATTTCCTTCCGGAGGGAAGTTTTGCTTCAAGCTGCTCTTCTTCCTGCTGAAAATCGTTTCCCCTCTGTCTCTCTCTCGAACTTTATCATGGGATTCCCTGGTGCACTAGTGTGTCAGTCAACACCTCTGACGATCATTTTTGGTGTGGATAACAATTACAGGACCACCATTTTGTGCAGAGTGCGTACTTGCGATCACCTTGCAATCACTGAGGCCATTGCCAGGCAACATCACACAACTGTCACCTCCCTTGTGCCAAAGATTGCAAATGACAAATCCCTAATCATCCCGACTAGGATGGGCCCTTGCAGAAAGCCATTGATGCGCAACTCATGTGGCTCCTGACTTTGCGTAAGTTTTTCAGCCGTTGCTTTCTGAGCAATCTGTTCTGAGGGTCCATCATCAACTCTTGACATTGCACTTGGCTCTCACACAATAGTTGGAAGATTTTCAAGAAGGATTCCCTACATATTCCAACATTTCCCAAACATGCTTCCTCAACGTCTCAATGGAGATTCTCAGTTAGTATACAACTAGAATGTTTTCTTGAAGTCTAGTTCCCTTCTCACACTGCATCAAGATATCGACCTTGTTCGTCTTTTTTTGCCATGGATATCAGTTGGTTCTTCTTGATGAGCTGGAAAACTGTTTCTCAGAACTGTAACCAAACTTTTTCCATGAGGTCAAGATAAGGAAGTCCAACGGATGAACTGTCCGGTGATATCTCACTGTGAGTAATCTTTAAGCCTGTCTTGCTGCTGTTCGCCAATGTTTTCACCAGGGTTCGCTCAACGGTATCTCTGGGGTGGCACATTCCGCTGAAATTTCTCTGATTGATGCATCCAGGCTTTGAGAGGGCTTGATGATCAGCCTTTTCGTTCTTCGTCGTCCATCCTGTTTGCTTTGTGCCTGTAATCAAAGTTGAAATTATCCAACCTCTTTGATGACCACTGGCCATCGAAAGATTCGATCCAGGTTCTATTCTTTGCCACTCTTGTGCCAAACAAGCGTTTCATGTAGGTTGATGCTCCTTGCTTCAAACCAGTTTGGTGATTTTTTCGATCCATGTTCTTTGGTCAGGTGTGGCGGGTCAGTTATGCCCTTTGGTACCGATCATGCCGGATACCTTCATCTTCCGACGGGAGATGTTCACATTCTGGGCCACAGAGACAATCTACAATGGTGAGACCTTCTTCTCCAAAGTTGAGCAGAGGCCTTCCATTTTGGGCAAGAGTTTCTTGCCGTCACAGACAGCCACAGCGGTATTGTTTTCAAAAAAGGAGTGAGTATTCGTGTCATTTTGTTGTCCAGATCAGCTGGCTAGCTGCTAACTTGCAGTGGTTCGGGGCACATTCAGGTTTGATTTCAACAGAACCTAAGAAGCCAGATTTAGATGACGAGAGATAGATGCTTCGGATCTTTGTTCATTCTTTGTTTTTCCTCTCTCTCTCTCATGCCAAGGAGTTGCCTCTTGTCATTTCTTTGACGAGCGTGCAACCAAAATGCTAAAGTGACACCAAAATAGACTTGACATACCAGATTCGTGAGTTCGGTGTGCAGTGCTTTTAGGGTCGAAGCTTGGAAGACTTGTTCAAGGTTGCAGGGCAGTGTTGCACATTTCTTTATTGTAAGAAATTCACCAGCATCCCAAGGCAGTTCCGTTCTGGTGATGCCGGGCCTCAACGTAGTGGGAAGCTCCTCCAAGTCCTTTTGCCTTCCGTGGAACTATTGCAACTTCGAAGTCTATGACTGCAATGGTCAAGTGGTCTACAGAGGACCCGCACCTGTGCATCTTAATATTTTTTCCTTGAACATATTGACATCGTGAAGATCTTGGCAGAACTTGAACTAGCAGGTTCCTTGAGGCGGATTACCAGTATACAGTTATACATGTTGCCGTCTGCTACACAGTGTTGTTGCCCGCTTTGGCGCAGGAGAGGTTGGACAAGTTGCGAGTGTGTCGGATCCAACATCTCAGGTGGGGTGCATCGGGGCATAGCCCGTGACATGCCGCATCTCAAACGACTGAAATGGGAAGAGACTCACAAGATACACACGTGGAAGCCCTGTAGTGTCACTAGCTTTGGAAAGACACTGGAAAAAGGGTCAACAGTACATATCCAAACAATATAGACGGACTTGAAGACCATCTATTGCGTGCTTCGCCTCTTATTGCTTTCCTTTAGTGTTTGCCTCTCGTTCTTACCTCCCATTTTACATCCTCAAACTGGCTTCCTATATTTGTCTCCTTTTCCTTTCAGGTGACAGTTTACAAGCTGCTTGACAAGGACCCAGAATGCATGGGTGCTGATACTCACAAGCTAGTCACAGGTTTGCCAGTTTTTGGAGTACATAGAGTGATGCTGAAGCTTCCTTGATAGACTGATGACTATCCGACTATCCAGTAATTCATGCGTCACATTGTAGCTCAATCGCCCAAAAGCCCGAATTGGCCAGATCGTAAATCCTGAATGGAAAAACCACCCTGCACGTCATTGTTTGTTTTGTCATGCATGCCACCTGTCAGCTTGCAGAGAAGCCAATCCGGATAAATAAAGGATACGTGGATTCAATTCTCCAGCCCGGTGGGGCGCGTGCGTGGCGTCAGGAGGGGAACTACTTGGGCCGTTCCACTGCGCTTCCCAGCCTGTTGCCACGTTTGGGAGGCATTAACTCAAAGAGTCAGAGTGCGGTGAGTATTCGTGACACTGGAGATGCCATCGTCTTGGCTGCCTGGCAGAAAGCTGAACAAATTGCACACAGTAAGCTTGTTTGAACTGATATAAACCGCAAGAGACGTCTCAGGAACTTTTGCATGTTGCCGCAGAATCTGATGACTGCCTTCCTTGGACGACCAAGGATTTGAGACGGGATCCCAATCAACTTTGGGTCACCCATTGGACAGGTACTTTGAATGCCCCTGGCATGTCGGGCTTCGGCAATGCCGAGAAAGTCCCGCTGGCAGATCCTGTGCTTGTTACCTTTCTTATCAGCAACAACTTTCGAAACAAAGGCCTGGACAGTGGAAAAGGTAGCGTCGCTCGCTTGATGAGGATTTGAGGCTATGAAACTGGATCGAACGATGAGATTGCTCGAACACCTTGGTCTTCATTTCAACTTTTTTCACAGTAAGTAGGCACACCAAAAAGCATTTGTGAATGCGAGAGGTCTCTTCAGCCCTTTGGTGAACTTCTTTCTGCTTGCAATGGCAGCAGGGCTGGTGGTCTTTTTGTACTGGAGATATCAACACAGCAAGGAGGCCTTTGCCAAGTAGTGTTTTTCTCATTCAGTTTTCCGCAGTTCTTATCCGTCTGGCCGGCCAGGAAGAGGAAGAAGAATATGACATCCGGAACTTGCAGATCATGGATAGTCTGCCATTATTGGAAGGTGGCTGCTGCAGCGGAAATCGTCCCAAACATTGAGAAGGTTTGGGAAACGTTTCTAGACTTTGGCTTCGAAGTATTGAGAGATTTCATTCTTAGAATTTCCCAAAGCTTCTATAATGCCTGAGCCTGTGATCACTCTCACCTGGCTCACGACAGCTGTTACGTTGCTCACAAGAATGAACAAGGTGTTCAGTTTGGGACTTTTGCCTGCATCAATTGTGCTAGCCCTTTCGTTGGCACTTTAATGTGGACCCTAGGGACAATTGGCCCTCCCACAAAGTGGGTTGCCTGCCAGATTTGCTGGCTGCTCGCCGTAGACAGGGTCCTACAGGCTTCGAGCAGTCCGAAAACTGCAGTCAGAGCTGCAGTCAAACCTTGCAGTTGCGTGGAGAAGCTTGGGCGCACATGAGTATTGCTTTGAACAAGAAGCGAGTGCCCCAAGGAGCCTTCAAGGTGTTTTGAAAAGCTTTTTTCCTTAAGGGAAGTGGGTGGCCAAAACGCCATATCCACGTAACTAGCCTATCGGGAATGGAATGATCCAAAGCTGTCCGACCTTCGCATTTTGAGTCGCAAAAAGGGAGCAGCGCAGCGGAGTTGGAGAAAGAGCTGAACACGTTCGTGTGTCTATGGAGTTTCGCAACTGGTGCAGGAACGAGAACTAGCCAAAGCTGAGAACGTTCGCTTAAGAGAGCGCGTGAAGAAGTTGGGAGCTCATTTTTGTGTTCACTCTTGCAGTGCTAAGTGCAGCATGGCCGTTTTCTGCCAATTGAAATGCCTTCAGGTCAGACATGCAGTCATTCAATCATGCTTTGGCCCAACGAGGCTGAACATGATCCAGAACAACTTGCTGAAACAGGCGGCCAACTTGCGGAAAAAGACACTCTTGCAGGTCACAGCATAAGCCACTCTTGAAGGTCTCTATGCTCATGACAGAGCGAGAGGAGTTGAAGCGCCTCGCTTGGTGGCCCAGCTGTAGTGAACCGAGGAAGACAGCCCTGGCCTTTAGGAACTCTGAATGATATGGTAACGATCAGCAATCAATGGACATTGCAAATGTCAGTTTGCACAGTGGCCCTGGCTCCTTTCGAGCATGCGAGGAGCGTCGAAAATCACCCCGAGGCACGGAAGATTTGAGGTGTATATAAGTAGACACGAATATGCCACCCAAGCAAGGGCTGAAAAGCTTTATGACATAACTTTATGCTTACATCGGCGATATATCATTGACGTTCCATGTTTGTAGGCAAGACTTCATCCTTGACCTCTTCATGCACATCTCTTGGTGCTCCAGGATCGGGGCGTGGCTTTGAAGTCATAACTGGCCTAAAGCCTTTGTCAACACCTCGAAATGAACACAAAACTGCATTGTGGAAGCCTGGCCCAGGAATGAGTTTTGATCGCATGGCTGAACTGAACGCATTCGTCTTTGCCTTGATTTTTGTGCAGCTGCAACTTTAGCCTTAGTAAGTTTTCGCCTTGTAAATGGAATCTGGCGGTGCCGCAACTCTGTTCTTCTCTTGATTTTCAAGAAGCGTGGGCTTTGCGCCCACCTGACGACGATTTGGTGATTGTTTAAGTTTTGACACGGTCCACCATTGATGTAAGTGTCTACCTGCTGTCCCTATGTATATAATTGTTGGCTGAGGTAAAAAATGGAGCGCACAAGAATGGCGATGCCAAAGTGCAGGAGTACCAGCCCATCAGAAAGACTTATTGCCTGACATGTCATGCAACATTTCTTTATCATAAATGATGCCTGCCTACAGCAGATTGATTTGCACCTTCCATGAAAGGAACCATTTGAAGAGATGCTGCGAGAGGCGGAGCTGCGAGACAAACTTTGGACAGGTACTAGCTCCTTTGCTTTCCTGATTCCAACACCTTCCCTTTCTTTTGCTAGCTTGGCCTTTTTGCATCGACCCACAGTCTGCAAGTAGCTACATTCCCATGTCTAGTCCCTCAAGAGGCCTGGCAGGTCTTGTATGTTAAGTTTCCCTCAAAATCCAGGAATCAAATCATTAGTGCGTGAGCTATCCTGCGTCTGCTAGAAGCTTGCTCCCTTACTTAATCAAGATGCGCCTACTTAATTGAGTAGGAGCGGGCCAAGAAAAGAAGCCCTTATGCTTTACACATGTTTTCGAAAGGCATCCAAATGAACTTGTTTTGAAAGGCATCCAGATCTGACAGGAGCACCTCCAAATTTAGAAACCTCAAGCACTTGAGTCTTGCACCCACCGGGGTTTGTTATGTTCTGCAACGCTGCTTATCATGATTTTCACTATTTTGGTGGAGGGGGCATTTTCCGGACCTTTTTTTCTGCAGGTTGAAGCAGGGGCTCAGGAGAACACCTTTCCAATTTGGTCATACCTTGAGCGTTTGCAGACCTTTTTGTTTGATCCCGATCGTTTCCAGTTAGACCTGATATTATGGCGATCTTGGAACTGTTTTTCGTAGCGTGGCCCACTGAGCACTGAGCACGGCTGAAGGACAGTCCTGAACGTTCAGTGTCAGAAAGCCGGCGCCAAAGGATTTCGCTTGCCATGGTCGACTTTACATAAGCGTATCATAAGCGGGTTCCTCCATGATAGAGGTGACTCAGCATATATGGAATACATCGACACTTCAAGCAGATTGTGTCTCGGTTTTTACCCTGCAAAAGCATGACCTTGACCTCTATATACACGCAAGGATTCATTGGGTCTGTCCTATTACTTGTAACCAGTCAGTAAACAGTTATCACTATTTTTGGATAAGGCCCCTACTAACCATCATCATCCACTGTTACAGGTAATAGGATAGACCCAAAGGATTCAGTTGACCTCTAGAGACTGTCGTAGTGCCGCTGTGAACGGCCTTCAAAGGATCTTGTCAATGTAACGACACATGACAAGATGCCAGTTCCCGATCATATGTAATGGAAGCAAAGACACAAAGGAAGAATTTGCAGGGAACATGATTCTCTGAGAAACAAGGGGTTGCCCACCACTTGGAAGACCTCCACTTCCATGCTGGTGAGTCGAAGATCTAGCCAGTAGGTCTTCATAGCAGCAATTCGCAGCGGGGCGGCTCCATCTCAGATACCAAACCTGGATAACTTTTGAAGACAATATAATATATTAGATGACTAATTACGATCAACTTTCCTTTATAATCTAGGAGCCAAGTCATCAAACCTGAACCCTAGCCTCCGTCCAAGAAGGTAGCAGCTTAGCTACTTAAGCTTAGTAGCTACCCTTCTCCTGGCAGCTTACTCAAAAGCCACTAGCTACTGCCCACCCTGCTCCCCTCGCCTAAAAATCAAGATGGAACCCTCAAAACAAACGGCCAAACTTTGTTTGACACTCCTGTGCGACACTCCAGTAACCAGTAAGACACTCTTGTACGCGGTGCTCTTGTGGGACACTCTTGTAGAACACTCTTGTGGGATCCTCTCGTGCGACACTCTTGTGGTGTGCCACAGACTAGATACAAAATGAAACGTCAAGCCTCATCGACACCTCCAATCATTCCGCTCCCCAGCGACACGCCGCATTTACACCAGCACGTTTTCCTTCCTCCAATGGCATGGTCGGCCTCACGCAAACGCGCCTTCCGCCGAGGCCGCGCAAGGCCGCATGCGCAGGCTTCCAGAAGCTGCTTCCCGCACTACAAATGTACTACAAAGTTGCTTCCCATACTACATTTGCATGAGGAAGTGGCCGGTTCTCAGCTCCCAGAAGCTTCTCCCCGCACTACATTTGCACTACAAAGCTGCCAGTTCGGAGGCCAGCTCCCATGGGAGTACTACATTTGTACTGCCAAGTGGCCTGTTCTCCACAACAAGCATTTCGTACGGGACTTCCTCCAAAAGTCACACGTCAAGTGCAAAACGAGCATTTCATACGAGACTTGCTCAAAAACTTGCACTTCAAGTCTGAAAAACGAAGGTTTCGTACGAGACTCCTCCAAAACTCATGCGTCAAGTCTGCAAAATGAGTGTTCGTACGAGACTTCCTCCAGACTCACGCGTCAAAGTCTCCAAAACCAGCGTTTTGTACGAGACTTCCTTCAAAGGTGAGGCGGGAAGTCGCATCAGACGCAACACATTCTGCAGCCCTGGCAAGCAGTTTTGCAATCCCAGCCCATCAAAATCACAACCGCTGACACACCAATCCCAATGTCACAGCGACACTCACCTCCACGAAACATCGCAACCTCACGATTGCCTGCGCCTGCGCCTGCCACGAAAAGTGAGGATATCACATGTTCAATCATGTTCATGTTTGCAGCAAAACTTGCACACGCTCTCATCCACCAAAATCACCATTTTAGCGAAGACTTGTCACGAATCCGAATGTCACAGCCACATCCAGCACCCCAAAACCACAACCCTCTAAACGCAAATCCTAATCTGACGGCGAAGAAATCTGAGGATCTGTGAAATCATCCGCCACACTTCAACATGTACGTGTCCACACATTCCTCACTATTTCACACGAATCTGACACGTCATGCTTCCATCCAAAACCCTGTCCATGCGGACGTTTGCGGTTGCTACGACGACAAGTCGTTAAGACTCTGCCCCCAAGCCCCCAGAATTAAACAAGAACCCATTCGCTACGCATTGGGGAAAACGGGAGAAGTCCACAAACCCGAATGCGCACACGTACGCAAGCACAAATGGCTGAACGTTGTTTGATACTCTCGCCACCCTCTTCAACCACACTTTTGAACGACATTCTCGGGTGACACTCTTCTGGGTTTGCGACACTCGTGTAGGACACTCTTGTGGGACCCTCTTGTGAGACAGTCTTGTTGGAGAGTCTTGTGGGGCACTCTTTAGGATGCTCCTGCGGGAGACTATTGCTGGAAGTGCTTGCGAGACATTCTTGTGGGCTACTCTTGCGGGATATTCTGGTGGGAGGCTCTTGTGTGAAGCTCTTGTACGAGCACACGTCCTGTCCAAAAGATTCCAAAAGTCATGCGTCGATCATCCAAAGAAACGAGCACTTCAAAGAAGACATCCTCAAAACGTGACGTGTCAAACCGAGATTTGAAAGTGAACAGTTCGTAGGAGGCCTCAGCCTCCTCGCAAATCATGCGTCAACTCTCCAAAGCAAGCGTTTCGTTCGAGGCCTCCGCCAAGTAACCCGCCAAGTCTCCAAAACGAGCATTTTGTACTGGATCTCCCCCAAGAATCAAATTGAGAACTATGCCGTGATTCTGCACTTCTCACACGAATCGGACGCTTTTCATCCAAGACCTTCAAAAACTTACCCCAACGGGGGAAGGCTTATCCGGACGATTAGCTCGAACACAGGTCCACCACCCTGACCCCAGACTATGGGAAACCTTCACTACACATGGTTAAGAAACACGTCGGAGAATCGGGAATCTCGGGGTTGGCACTCGGGCCAAGAGACCGTGGCAAGCCGGCTTTCAAGGCGTGCGAAGTCGGAACAGCCAGGAATTGCCTGAAACCCAGAAGTCGCTGTCGCGCCATGTAACTGGGAGAGAGGGCGTTCAGAACCAACAGACACAGGAGATGCCGGTTTGAAGCACTGAGTCTTGAGCGTTTTGTCTCGACCAGAGTTTCTGTGCCCTCCAAGGCTTCGGCAGATCCGGCAACAGACTTGTTGCTATGCGGCCACCCGTGCTGCTGTATCTCCCCGGCCGGCTGCGGTCAAAGAACTTTTTTTCCTTTAGCCTTAGCACTGAGCACTGTTCCAGGTTTCTTTCGAGAAACCAGAGGCTTTGTCTTTGGAATTGCTCGAAACACCGAAGGATTGCAAGCATTCCTACAGACAGGTCCCTTTGCAATGCAAAAGGCCCTAGGATTTCAAGAAAACTCTTGATAAGGTTTCACCTGGACTACGCCGAAGAGATCCAGGCTGTGTGGCGACATCGCTCTAGCTCTTGCTTACTTGAAGCAACAATTAGACCTTCGCAAAGGAGAACATATTTTGTACTCCAGTTTGGTTCGGATAGTCTAGCGTTTCTCACTCAAATGGGAGCATCAACCCTCGATTGTAGTCTTGATCAATTGGACTGAACAAATTGCCGGTGCAGAGTGAGGGATGTGGCGAGTATTTGTGTGACGCGACCAGCTGTGCTTTTACAAAGAAATCTCTTTTCCCGGGAGCAGAAGTCTTTGTGCGTTTTTTTGCCAAACGTCTTTGTGCGTATATTTGTGCGTAGTGGAGCAGAGGCATCCCGAGCTATGCGGATGTTATGGCTACTTGGATCGCACAGAAACTTCGACGGTGGAGTGATTGTAACGCATGGCAAGTGAATAGCGTACAATCTTCCAGGAGCTCACATGGGCTCACATATTTTGTCCCAAGCAGATTGGTTTCAGACTTCCAGGTAGCTATTTGGATTGCAACCAGACTTTCTTTTTGTTGCTTGAGCATGGGCTTGTTGGGTTTGCAATGTTTGTACAACGCTGTGCCCTTCCTTCGCGTGGCACAGTCAATCCAGGCTTTGCCACTTAAGGACGCCATAGTGAGCTGGGATTGAACAGACTTGTGCCTTTGTAAGGGTTGACGTCCTCTGAAGCAGGTTGGTCTCCGACCTTTTTTCACAGCTTCTGGAAACCGGAGAAAGCAAGAAATATGAAAGCAGTCAAACCACATTCTACTACCCGCTGTTTTGTGAAGCAGCCTTAGGATCGACAGTTACAGCAGCTTCCACAGACTCACAAAGCAAGGGTTGCAGCGCAGGAGAGTGGATGTGGCTCCCCAGAAAAGCAGGAGTGCCAAGCGCCCGGTGATTCAAGCATGCTGGTTGGGGATTTGCTTGGGAAGGAATTCAAGGAAGAGGTATTAGCTCAAGTCTCTGGTGTGTTGTAGTGAGGACGACTTGATGCAGTCCTTCGCAAGGGCCTCAGCAAGGGGAAGCCTCGGTGCAGACAACCAAACGACATGCCCTGAGCCGGAGCCACATAACATGCTTGGAGACATGCTGGGAAGGTCCAACACTTTGCAGTGTGGAGCTTGGTGTGCTGGGAAAGCCGTATCAAATTACACTGACACACTTTTGAGACGTCTTAGTTGGTTGTCTTGTCTTCTTTGTGAAGGCCTACACGCGTCAAAATGATGCTAGCCCGGCCTCTTGAGACCGAGAGCCAAAGCCTTGTGCTGGTCGAAGAGTTCCACTGAGCTGGTTAACAAGCCAAGACATGGAACAAAGTTGAACAAAGGCACCTCTTCCCTGGGTCTTTGCGGAAACTTAGTTTATTTTTTCAACATCTGGCAGATTTATTTCAAGTTTGTTTGCCAGTTTTCAGACTTTTCAGTCAGTTTTCCAACCCTTGCGAGCCTTGCTTTCGCCTTGCTTTCACTATCCGATCCAACTCTTGCTACTCTCAGAATCGACTTGACTTGCAACTTTCAACCTAAGAAGCCAATATCAGGGCTGGGCATGAGGGAAGCTGTTTGGTTGGTTGTTCCTTACATTTTGGCAGATCACACGAAGGCTGCAGCATGTGCAGTGAGAAACGCTGGCCGGCAATGGTTTTGTTGGCCAAGAAGAGGCTAGTTGCTGGGCAAATCCCACTGTGACAAGCAAGCGTGGCAGCTGGGCTTGTCCTGGCTATGCCTCGTGAAGGGATATTGCACCCAGGACGCCTCTTTGTCATCTCAAAGCAGATGTATCCATTTGGGTTGACTGCCTGGTCAAACATGAATGTCTTGCTCCGTGAATCTTTCTCTATATATGAATTGAACACGAACACGTTCTCAAGAATCTCCACGTTCGCAAAGGCAGCGGTAGAGATCACAGTTACAACACAGCGTGTCACATGTTCCAGGTTCGTGAGCCTGATTCTTTTTGACAAATCAATTTTTAAAGTTGAATCTCCAGACGGCTTTTGTTCAGGTGCTTCTGTATGCCCACATAAACTCGCCTGTCTTGCTTGGCTCCAGATGTTTGCAAATATTATGCTGATCTTTGTTCTATGCAGCTTGTCTGTAATTCTGTAATCCATAAGGAGTTCTCTATTTCTTACTTATATAGTAATATTCAATGCCTGGAGATTCTTCTGCCAATGTTTGCCGACGTGGTATTTCTGTATTCTGTACTTCTGTCGAAGTGGACCATGGAAAATATGACTTGATTTCTGTTTGGTATGCTAGTGACAAGAATCTTGCAAACAATTTCTGCTGCATCATCATTCAGGCATAACTTGATCGCCACATGCTGTATCAATTAGGAATTATCCGGCGACAAAGGCCTTTGGCTCTCTTTAACAAAAATATATCATGAAACCCAGTCAAGAGCAGAAGATAGTGGCCAGTTTACCAATGACCAGGCAATGTATCTTAGTATCTCTCTTTATCACCGGACATATGTTCTGCATATGCAGACATTGACAGTACAGATGAGTCAAGGGAAATCAGACTTCCCCCCTCAGGTATACCCCCCGCTTGCCCTAAACAGAGTAAGTTCCAGCTTATTTGAACCTTCAACATCAACAGCCAAAACTTATCTGCAATGAGAAATCACATTTTTGTAGTCCGATCAACACGTTTTGCAACTGTGGCCATTCAGCAGCATGCCAGCCGCTGGAGGCACGGCTTCTAGCTGCCATCATTGTTTTGTTCGAAAAAGCCAAGACATTGCAATATGCCACCTTTTCAATCTGTGCAAACCTTTGGTGTTATTGTGTTCTTGGAGCTCAAAAACTTTCAAATCCTGAGAGGCTCTGCAGGACGCAAGCTAGTGAGTGGCAGCCTTGGTTGATGACAAGACGAAACCCCGTGCACGAAGCTGGACGTTCTTCTAAAGTCTTCCAAGCATGAAATGTCGGCAATTGACAGGGCTACGTTTTTGCTCCACTACCTACGGACATATTACATAATCGCTTCAAACACATGATAGCAGTTCTTTTTGTGGTGAAGCATGTACGTTGCACCACAGGAGAATCAACATGTCGTGCAAGGTAATGTTTCTTGGTCCATAAACTTTGATCTATACACTTGCATAAACGAGGCACCAAGCGCTTGCGTGGCAATGTGATAGAGTGGCATAAACCTCAGTGTTAAGAGTAGCAACATTGAACCTTCGAAAGCCTATGCCATTCTTTTCTCCTACGATGACTTTCATGTTGTTCATCGCAGACATTCACTGCATGATTTCTTTGATGTATTGGAGTACTTTGCGCCCAATTATTGATCCCATTATCTACTTTTCTTCCCTTCAAACAATGCTTTTGCTTTAGCATCGATTCCTTTTCAGTTCCTAGGTTTGACAAATATGGCTGGATCCAGGTGCACATGATGCGGGGGCTGACACGGTGTATGTTTTTCGAATCGTTTCGGCAGCGGTTGCAACTTACCAGCAACTGGTGGCGGCACGCTTTAGCTCTTGGCTGATCTTAGTGTGGAATAAATTGAACGCGCAATGTGCAGGCCAACGAAGCTATCAATCACCCACAGGCCAACAGGCAGGGCCAAGCTGGGAGCGCACAGCCCAAATAGTTTTTGAGTCACATGCTTTACACAAAAAGATGCGAGTCTTGCACTACTTCCCCTAGATTCTGATGTGGCCTGTGTGATTTGAGTGCTGAATTGACAGGAATGGGGGAAGGATCTACCTGCAGGGAGAGGCCAGTGAGATACTGGGCCCTACTGGGTTGGATGTACAGGATGGACTCTTCCTGAATGGCTTTGTGGCTTTACTCTGCTGTGAGGGTGTTCAGGATGATCTACCTGGTGTTGGTTGCGCTGTGACCTTTTTCCTGTGCGCCTCTGCCTGATGCGCATAGCGGGCATAGCCCTCGCATCGAATCAAGAGGGTAGAGACGCTACAGGTCAATAGCACATGAGAAATGACTCTGTGCAGCCATGCGAGGTATGAAGATGCCAACGGTCTCGGGGCAATGAACGTAGCTCCCTTGTTGAACCAATAGCTTTTTGCAAGTTTCTCAGAAGGAAGCGCAGAATCCCTTGTCGTCCCTTGAACTGACAAGCGCCCTGGTGCAGAAGAAACAGCTATTTCAGGTGCGACCAGATTCGCAAGCACATGTGCAGAGGGCACAGGCCCTGGCATCGTTTGCGGTTTGTAAACCTGCAACGGCGACGTTCTCAATTTTGGGTTTTCACAGCAAGTGGCAGGTCGGTAGACCAACGCCACAAAGTCCATGCCCAAGCAGTCAAGCTCATATCGAACTGCACCAAAATAGCAGGTGTTATACCCAACAGGCACTGGTACTGCACCAACCTGATAGTTCTTTCTGCGAACAAGCACTGCTACCAAAAGCTGAGGTTTCGCAGCTCAGTTTCCCAGCCCACACCAAACGGCAGCGGCCAAGGCGGGGCGGACTAATTCACTCACCGACTCAGTTCGCTGTGAAGCACAAATCGTACAGGCCAGAGTGAAACCCGTGCAGTACCGTGGTGGCTATGCGTTTGGAGTCCCGTTTGAACATCCCTGGCCTTTCGCCGCGTCGCGGTGCAGCTCGCGGCGCAGCTCGCGGCGCTGAGGCCGGTGATGTCAGGACCTGTGAAGTCACATGAGGAAGTGCTCGGGTGCCCGGTCGATACCCACCGGGTCTTGAAATCGGAAGCGAGGGGTCGACCCATCTGTTGCCGAGGCTGCAGAAGGTTCACAGCAGCCTGAACAAACAAGTTTGGAAGGCCGAGACTTTGGATTTTGTGTATGATGCGCCCTTTGTTTCTTTTTGCCGGCGTCGCGTACTCTGGCCTTGTTCTGTCTGGTTTGATGGCAAACGCAGGCGACAGGGAAGATTGCCGACAGGGAAAAGGATTGGGACCACACAGAGCTTTGCAAGAGAGTTGTCAAGTGCGCGCAGTGAAACACCGGCAAAGTTCTTCAACTGAGTGGTTGATAGTCTTTTTGATGGCCTCAGGTATCTCTACAAGGGTGCACAGGCACCGGAGCTACTAACCTTGCCCTGGCAACAGGCAAGCCTCGTTGACCTTGGATCCACTTTGTACGGAAGGTAACCTATGTGCATTTTTGTTTACCCTTCTTGTTGAGTTTCAACCCACCTTGGGATTCCATTCTTCACTTTGAATTGAAGGACAGAGGTTGTTTGTTTTAATACCATACTTGTTGAGACCTCTCGAAACTGTTGCGGGTTGGCCCCTGTTTTTCAGGCTTGGGTTTGTGGTTTGATATGGGGACTCTCCATTTTCTTGATTTATTACGAAAGCCAGCCGATAGGCTAGGCTTGAGCTCTTAGAGCGAACGAAGTGAGTTAAGGGCCAAGGGGGTGTGGGGGGGGAGGCCGCGAAAAGGCACCATTTGAGAGGGTGAACCCGGAGCTTGCTGGGGGAGAGCGCTCCAAAGCGAGGGTCAGAAAAGCAGTGAAAATGGGGTCTGGTGATGCTACTATATTTGTGCCGTTTCCTCGGTCGGGCGGATGCTTCTCGCGGCGTCCACGTGCGCTGAACGTTGTTCCGGCTGGGCCGCGCAGCTAGATAGATACAGAATAGATAGATAGATCGATAGATCATAGATAGATAGCTAGATAGATAGAGCTGGCTTGATAGATAGATAGTGATAGATAGATAGAAAGCAAGTTGTGCCTTGGAAGAAGCAGGTCTTGGCCGGAAGAAACTGCCTGGGCTGTTGGGGAATGATGATTGCTTCAAAGTGGAACTGCTTGGATGTATTGTGGCCAGTATGGTAGGTTATAGTCACGGATCTGTGCAATATTTTTGGATGACGGTTGGTGACACCAATGCTGAGGCATATAGTTCCTGCCATCCTCCTAGTCATCCTTTCAGAGAAGTCTGGTTGGATGTATTGGGGCAAATATAGTGGTTGGTGCAAAAGACCCTCTCGTCTGGCGGCTGCTGGCTTTCGTTCCCCCCCTTCGCAGGTATTACTTTTTTGTGTGTTTTTTGGAGATCTGAGATCTGCTTATTTCACTACACACCCAATATCTAGATGATACGAGGCAGCGATGCAGTTTATTGAGAATGCGATGAGGGGTGCGAAAGCTGAGACATGGGCTATGTGAAGGGAAGAGATTCTGTGATGGGTTCAACGTGTTCAACAAGGCCCAACAAGGTTCCATGATTTCCGAATTGAAGCATTGGTGTGATAAGGATACAGCAACGCGTGTGCACAGAAAGATTGGTCCGGCGT